TCAATAAAGAGAGATTCTATTTTTGAACACAATTGTCCTTTATTTTGTACATCAGGAAGGGGGGCTAGGGAGGGGTAAGTGGAAAGAGGTGAGGGAGGACTGGGGTACGATCCCCCGATGGGGAGGACTGGGCTGGCTCTACGGGCTTCTGGGGGTGGAACCTCTCCTGCAGCCCCCCAATTGCCCCCTCTCCCCAGATGGCAGCCTGCGGCAAGTGCAGCCGGTCTGATGGACGAGTGCAGTGATGTGCCCGTGTGGGTACTCCGGGCAATCCAAGCCAGGACTGCTTTGCAAGCAGGGCACCCCTGAGAACTGTCTGTCCGGGGTGGGGGTCGGGTCCCTTTAAGCACAGCCCTCGGCTAGCCTGAGACAGCAGCTCCACGCTCTAAGTCCTCATCTGATGCCCTGCCGGCACTGCTTCCAGCCATCCTTAACCCCGGTTCAGGGTCCACTCTGTGTGGACAAGCTAGTTCGAATTAGCAAAACGCTAATTCGAACTAGTTTTTTAGTCTGGATGCGTTAGTTTGAATTAGTTTAGTTCGAATTAACTAATTCGAACTAAGTTAGTTCGAATTAGTGCTGTAGTGTAGACATACCCCTAGATAGTAAAGTTAGCTCGTATATTTTCGGGTCCTTTTCTTAGATAGATGTTGATGAGCTAAAAGATAGGGTCCACATATGACATGTTTAAGCAGACTGGGATTTTCCTAAGTTCATACACTTCTAAACTTAATAGATACACCACAACTTGGAAAAATCGGAAAAACGACAGAAGTAATAAATGTGAGAACTGACCACAAAAGGGTCATGGTAGCAAACTGATGAATGTGATATTAAGATGAGATCAATGGTTTGCTGTCATGGGACAAGAACCTACCAACCCTCAATGTGATAACTGGGAATTCCTAAGTAATCTGTAAAATTAATACACAATCTAAACATTGGGCAACGGAACATGAGGGTCCATATCACAGCTTACATCACCTGTGATAATGGTTTGTAATGCTAGTAACAATGACACACTAGTTGAAATCATCTCATCATATCACACGGGGTTTTGTTTAGAGTCTTTCTTCTTCCCTCATGATTGGAATTTTGGCCCATTAAATAGCAGCCCACTGGAGACTTGTGATTTTGGTGTCCAGTAACATCAGTCTCAATTAATTCAATTGAAGTGCACCTGCTATTCTTGAAGTCTTGGTAACGGTAGCGTGGGACTCAGCAGAAATTCACGAGATGCTGAGATAATCCTGGCCCCTGTGGTAGCCAAGACAGACAGCTGGACAGAAGGACCTGTTTGTTTCTGACATGCTTCATTCTGTGCACTGACAGCCCAAAGTTCATCTACATCCTGGTGGCCTGTATTCTTGCTGTCCTGCTGACCATGCTGGTGTTTACCGTCATCTACTTGATCAGGAAAAGAAAAGGTAAGGGGTGCACAATGGAGACTGATGATTCACTGCAGGATATTGGACGGCCATAGCTTGTGGCAGAAAAGAGTTGGTTCTCAAGGGGCAGGTCCTAAAAGGTAGGTAGGCACCTGATTCACATGGAGAGGAACTGGATTTAGAGGCCTAACTACCATAGGACATGGGACTGAGTGCCTCAGGTATTCCACATTCAAATGATGTTGCTAGGGGTGCAGGTTTTTCAAGGAGTGCTCACTTTTCTTTTGAAACATAATGTTGGGAATGTTACATTTACACCGCATTCAGAAGCATGGTTACACGATCTCTCCTTGAATGCCACATTAACAGCAAGGACTTTTCTTTTTTACTAATTATGTATTTGGGGAGTGTTCATCGGATTGCGCCCCCTGGCTGCATGAAACAAAAACATCATGACAACCGTGAACGTTTGTTAAAAGAGGCGTTGGGTTAGCAAATCATCAGATCTCTCTGCTGACATGGTGCTGCCGTATTGCAGAGTGAGCATCTTTATACTGCCTATGACGTGTCATTTCTAGTGACTGGATTAAATTGAGAGAAAACGGTGATTATGCAAATTTAATCAGACACACATGTCTATCAATGCTAAAAACTGGTATAGAATATATACGAGTCAAAATTATCTGTTTGTAGCAGGGCTGGGCAAGATGCGGTCCATCTAACACTTTGATCTGATCCGTGGACTCTGCATCTGGCTGCTTTCTAGTTAAACCCTGCTGCTTGTGCCACTGAATTTCCAGGCAGTGGCTCAGGGAGCAGGAGCTTATTTAAATGGCTCACGGTTGCCAGTCGCAGTGCTACCGTGGCAGGAGCCAGAGCTACGAGCCCTTTTAAATAGCTGCAGCAACCCTGGGCAATTGCCAGGCAATGCGGTAGCGACAGGACTGGGAGCTGCAAGCCCTTTGCTGTGTTTTTAATTCACAGGGGAGGCTAGAAGAGTTTGCTCCAAATTTTCCTCTGCCCTCTGCCCTTCCCCTCCCCCCATCATCTGGATCAGTTCGTCCTGGCCTTAGAATGTCCCTAGTGGGCAGGGATTTCTTCTGGAGTTTTGCTGTGACTGGCACCTATCCCTCTGTCTCCACTACAGATCACAATAGACCCCTAAAGATGTCTCAAGAGCAGCGTGTCACAGATACTGTGCATCAGGCCCCTGCTGTTAACCCTCAGGTAAAAGTCGGAACTGTTTTCTTGGTGGGTCTCATGGTACGAAAATGCTACATTATTATAAATGTGAATTTGGGACTGAAAAAAGGTTGGTTTTTTTTTCATATGAATGCAATAATTACTCAGAAGTTCCTTTTGCCTTAAATTGTAGCCAGTGCTTTCCCTTGCAAGCTAGAAACACTCCTGCTATGCCACCGAAGTTCTCATTTTCCAATCTCTGCAGCATCCTCAGTCCCTAATAGCTTGCAGGAAGGCCAGAGACTGAAAGAGGTATCTGCTCTGATTCTAATGCTGCACGCCCCCACTACCCTCAGGACTCAGTCTGTCCTCTCTGCAGTTCCTTAGCAATGGGATATCCTGCCCTGGATGATATGTGACTCCAGCTATGTTAAATAGGATGAAATTGTGTAACAGATATAAGCCCTCAAGATTCAGAGTATAAACCAGTCACTGAGAGTGCATCTACATTGCAGGGCCTAACTTGAAATAATCTACGCAAATTGAGTTACGCCAATTGCATAGCTTATTTTGAAATTTGGAGCGTCTACAAAGCACTTATTTTGAAATAGAACACTCTTCCTCCGACTTCCCTTCCTCCTCATCCAATGAGGGTTACAGGAGTCGGAGTAAGAAGGCCTCCAGCTTGACAGTATTTTGACACTGTTTTGAAATAACTGCCTGCTGTGCAGACGGGAACTAAGTTATTTCGGAATAGCGCTAGTTATTTTGAAATAGTGTTGCAGTGTAGATGTACCCTGAGAAACTAGGAAGAAGCTTTTTCCTATAGATAAGTTATTCCATAATTGTTCTTATGATTCTGATTCCTCTGAAGTCTGTAGTATCGACTAGGGTCACACGGCAAGCTCTGTGTTCCCCATGCACAGGGACGAGCTACTTGCACTAGACTACATTTGAGAGCATCCTAGAAGTGAAAAGGAAGAGTAGGAAATCCAGGCAGAACTCCCAGCAGTTCCTTACTCTCCAATAACGTTTACAGGTTTCTACGTGTCCTGAAGAGATCACCTACGCCAGTCTGATTTTCAAATAATTGGAACTGCTCTGTAGTTTGTGCTAGTTACAGTCACATGAAGACCTCTTGTGCTGCAGTTTAAATGCAGATGGAAGTTCCGTCACGAGCCCTCAGTTCTGTTTGGACTCACGTTGCCGAATGTCCCGTGTAGAACATCAACTGCCTACTGGTGCGGGCTTGAAGAAAAAACACTCGTCTTTTATGTCTCCGTTTCCTCATTCGTCAAACAACACTGCCTGTGATGCCCTTCTCGCCTTTCATTCTGCTGGGTGACCTTCAGACTGCTTCTGAAATGTCTTTGCATGTGTTGATAAGTGACACAGTAAGGGCAGGAAATAATTCTCTTATCTCTACAGATCCATCCTGTCAGATGGTCTCCATCCCTTTCTCACATGTTATTACATGTATTTACGAGAAGAGTCAATTTAATTGTACCTCGTTTTCGAATTGTCTCTTGCTTTGGTGAACTGAAATAATGATCAATACAGGTTGAATCTCTTTAGTCCAGCACCCTCAGCATTTGGGTGGTGCAGAACCAGAGAATTTGCCGAACCATGGGAGGTCAATATTGTTTAGCAGCATTACCAGCACTTCCACTGCTTGCTGGGCTCCTAGAGGACTATTTAGGGGTAAATTAGAGCTAAAGAACAGCACAGAACACTGGGAGCCAGGGCTGATGGCTGTAAACAAACTTTATGGGACCATGGGAAACTTGGCCACACCCATGGAAAGTGGACAGCCAGCTAACTAAAATCATGCCGGACCACAGATGGTGCCAGACTAGAGAGTGCCAGACTAGAGAGGTTCAACCTGTAGTAAATTTAATACACAAAACTATGCTTCCTGTTGATCTTGAGAGGAGTATTTTAGAATTGTTTTTTTGGACTTCATGTCCTCTGTAAAATTTTAGATTCAAAGAAATGCTGTTATGCTTATGAAATTCCTGAACACGGTGGAGACATTAAAAAAAAACGGACCATTAAATAAATAGCAAAGGCACATCACAAAGTGGGGGAACACCAAAGATTATAATGGCACTTTGATCCATAACTTTTCAAGAACTTTACAAAAGCGGGTAAGAATGGTTCTCTCCATTTTACGCCTGAGGGAACAGCAGCAAAGTTACAAGGAAGTTCCCCCTCTCCCCCACTGCCTGATTTTGAAAGGCATTTCAGTTCCACAATCCATGTGACTCAGATGGGGAGGGGGGAGCAACAGAATTGCTGGGTCCCTGGGCCAGGGCGGGGGG